CTATCTTTTAATTAAATCATTAGTGAATTTATTGTTTGTGTGATTATTAATGAATTTCTTCAAATTTCATTATTCATAATTACTTTGAGATGATCTTAATTGAGTTTATATAATCTTTAAATAGTGTGTGGTAACATGCTAAATTCACGCACAGACTTAAACATTCAGCATGTGCATCACAACAATGGTAGCAATTCAATTTAATTTATTTTTATTCATTGTAACATTAACCATTTTATTTGCTCTTTTTGTTGTGCTGCTACTGACACAAGACAGCAAATAAAATTGTCAAATAAAATCAACAACTGTAAAACAAAGCAACTGTATAATTTATTCATACTGCAATGCACTCTGGGAGTCAGTGAGTAGCTATATTAAGTCATGAGTAAACCTAAATGAAAGGATCAAGTACCCCCTACAGTTCTTTTTTAGTTACTAGAACTCTCGTGTAAGTAAACTATACTAACTAAGCATTTGTCAGTACAACATACTATTCCTCTTTCACTTTACTTAGTTTTTTCAAGGCAATCGGTTTGCATGCTTTTTTTAAGTAAGCCCAACTAATTAGATTTTACAGTGTATAATAAATGCAGGAGATTTTATCAATAAGGCTGAAATACAGATACGAAGCATTACCTCGTGTCTTGACTTGCTGAACAGCGCATGTTTAATAGCAAGGTGAACAGGAATGTAACAAAGTCCAGCACTAAATCTAGCTATAAAAAACTACACTGAATTTACCAACAGAAACAAAGTGCAGATTCCTTCTTTTCCTAAATAAAACAAAATAGTCTTCGTTTTAAAGTTGTTAGCTTGCGCAAAAGCTGTTAAAGAGAAGGAACCTTGGATAAAGTGTCAGACTTCTAGCAGACAAATGAATAAATCTAGGTTCATCAGCACTTTACGAATGATTTAAGAGAGAGCACAAGAACCTGCGCTTTTAGGGATCCCGGGCTCGGAGTCATTCGTCCCGGCACACTCTTCATCAGCTTCACTTTCCAGCAGAGCTGCGTCGGGCTGCGTGTCTGGAGTGGAAGGACTGGGAGAGAACTCAGACGGAGCATCTTCATAGCCGCTGCTTTCATCGTTATCCTCTGCACCTTGACTGAGAAACGCTGACAAACCGAACGTTTGGTTGCTCGCTTTCTTCAGCTGTAAGAGCTGGCTTGTGTTCAGATCCACTGAGGTGCCTTCACTGTGTGCGAGCGTCTTTCCGTCCCGGTCCACTGACGTCCCCTCCCAGACGTGCCCTGCCTGCCTCCTCTGAAGCTGCTCACTGTTTCCTTCCTGCGGAGGATAACACACTCAACATGATGAAACTTAATCTTGAGACCTATAAACCAATCGTGACTCATCGAACATGCCATTTGAATGCTATGTGTTGACAGGTAGTCGGGGGGGTGTCAGTGAAAACAAGCGCAAACAATAGGTATGAGTGGATAGACAGTCTGCTATTCTGTGTTAACATTATACATTACACCGTCTGTTTTCTCATAATACTGATGCATTTCCACTTATCGACATGAACCTCTGTTACCTCAGTTTCTTTGTGTGCACATTTAGGAAGGATCTGTACACAATTCCTGGAAGCTGAAAACATCCCAGTTCTTGCATGGCCAGCATACTCACCGGACATGTCACCCATTGAGCATGTTTGGGATGCTCTGGATCTTGGATTGAGTTCAGCTCATGAAAAATGGGGGCAAAAACAAAAGTGTTGCGTTTATAATTTTGTTCAGTGTATTTTTGATTTGTGAACGTTTGTTTAAAACGTTATGCACAAGTGATGTCATGTCATCGATTTCAATTAAAAAAAGTGTGGGGTCTTGCTCATTATATTGCGCCCTCTTGTGGACACAGGAGACAATACAATACTTTTTTTCTTCTAGCACCAAGTATGCCTTTACAATTTATATAATATAATTGGAATATTATTATTATTATTATTCAAGTAAGAAATTCTATTATTTATTAGCCATTTTGGCAGCCCTACTGGTTATGTGTGAACGCATATAAAGCCATGATTATGTTAATCTCATGTTAATCTTGAGTACTTACAGAGTAGTATTGCATGCTTCATATCTCCAAACAGTCTTTAGTTTTATCAGATTTATAAAAGACAGATACAGCTTTACGCTTCTCTCTGAAAACAGTCGAGCTCCTGGAGGCGTGTCGTGGGCGGAGCTAAAGAGTCACGAGCATGCGCAGCTTTCACGCGTTTATGACGTCATAGAGGGCCATACTCGAAAAAACTTTCCCAAACTTATACGAACCCTGAAGGAGTGTCTTTGGCACAGATATACTCCGTCATACATCCAACTCGTTTTTTGAACCTTTGCCCATGTTTAGCATGAGAATCCAACTCTTTAACAGTGTAAATAAGGCAGAATGCATGAAATAGCACTAGACCTCTCCTTTAAGATCAAGGATACAGGAGTAGGTGTTCACTCCCTTAGCTTCACTTACTAACTACCCAGCAAACATGCGATGTCAGGGAGGCGTTCAGATCATGTTCAGTTCAGACCCACTTGTGTACGTCTGTGGATGTGCAAAACTGCTTCAATATCTGAACGTCTGACTAGGGTCCCTCTTGGACGTCTGTGGACATACACTATTTGTTCATGAGTTCAGAGCACTTAAAGGCAGAGTAAGTGATTTTTCAAAAACACTTTAGAAAACTGATTCGGGCCGAATCGCAAAACAAACTTGTAGCCAATCAGCAATAAGGGGCGTGTCTACTCGTGATGTGGAGGAGAGCGCGTTCAGTGCATGGGACGGACATTAGCCGAGCGACAGAAAGATAGAGATGGCGGATAAAAAACAAAAGAGGAAAACGTCTGCGGAACGATAAGGCAAGAAGTAGGACCCGTGTAAATATCGGATCAGCTTTCCAGCGCTGGAGAGAACTCAAGGAGCGGAGGCCTGCGATCGGACGCCGAGGTTGCTTTGTTTCTTCTCAATAGGTGAGTAACACCGTGTCTACAACAACTAAAGTCTGCCTACACTGGACGCGAGAAAGAGGTCAAACGACCGTTGAAAACCATTTGAAATCGGTGTCAGCACGTCATAAATAGAACCCGGCAGCAGTTTTCTGTCGGGGATTTGTTGCACCGCGCCGCTCACGTCCGTAGACACGGTGTAACATTGGTTTTGCTTTGTTTCACAGAACTAATCGTTGCCTGGGTTGCGTACGTATATGTGGGGCAGAGCTATCAAAATAGGGGCAAGACCCTTTTGGGGTAGGGGCATGTTTGTTTTGGTGATTTCAAATATCAACATTGGCTACCAGAAATCACTTACTCTGCCTTTAAAGGTGGACTCAGTGATTTCTGAAAAACAATGTCAATGTAACGTCTTTGTCAAACGTTCAAAAGATGTCCACTGAGGAGCCAGAATGAACGTTTTTGCGATGGCTTTTTTAGACGTGTTTTTAGCGTGACATGAATAGTGAATGTCTTTTTTAAACGTCTTTTAAATGTTCATCATTGACATCCAAGCAACATAAATAGTGAATGCTAAAAAGACGTCTAAAAAACAGGTTGCAAAACGTTCATTCTGGCTCCTCAGTGGACGTCTTTTGAACGTTTGACAAAGACGGTAAATTGACGTCTTTTGGACGTGTCTCTCAACAGCATGCTATTCTCAAATATCTGTGTAGAATTACACCAAAGTATAGTTAATGAGTGATTTCTACATAGCTCTGCTAGTTTCATATCTATCGTATCAGTCGACACTTTATTTTGCTGAATTCTGTATCTCCTGTCCTTTTTTTGTCTTTATTTGTAAACAAATAAACCTTTTAGGTTGATACAAGACCCTTCCAGTCCACAGTGATCCTGTTTGTTAGGGTTTACATTGATTTCATTATCCTTTAATTACAACCGAGCACTCGTAACTCACTCACTTTCATACGCCAGAACTTATCCAGGCACAGTTTCAACAAGCTCTTATGATAAATGATAAAACATAAATGAAACAACAAGGAAGTGAACACACTCGCTGTTCTCCAAATACGGTTACGCAAACACACAGAAACTGCCAGCCTGTCTCTGCTTTGGCTTTATGCGGCAGTTTCTGTTCGTTTCTAAATGTGCTTATGTCAGCTTAGTCTCTCCTCACCTCTCTTAACCTCTCCAGCTCCAGCTTTAATGAGGCAACCCTGTCCTCCGACTTCCTCCTCGTCTCTCTTTCTCGCTGCAGCTCCTGCGGTCAAACAGAAAGAGAGAAGATGTGAAATCCATGTAGTGAATCCATTACTCAGTCCAAAGACATCTTTTACAAATGTTTTCTCACTTGCACCTGAAACAGACATCTATCATTTACATCAGTCTCACAGTACCATGGTGAGATTATGATTCTGTCTCTGGGTCTCAGCGAGCATCTCCTCCGTGCCCTCGAGGGCGTCCTGAAGACAGTCCACCTGGAACAGAACAGCCTCCTGCAGACAGTCCTGATAGTCGGCTCTCAGCTCCATCTGCACAGGGGGAGAAAAACTGAGGTGCTGTTAACACCATAAAGAGATATGCTCATTTTGCATCTGAAGAACAAACGTCTCAGGGTTTGTATGGAAGAGAGTCGGGATGTTTTAAAAGCTTACGGTAACACTTTAGTTTAGGGTCCGATTCTCACTAGTAACTAGTGTCTTATCAGCATGCATATTACGTATTATTATATATATATATATTACGCATATTACGCATATTACATATTATCCTGCAGACAGTCCTGATAGTCGGCTCTCAGCTCCATCTGCACAGGGGGAGAAAAACTGAGGTGCTGTTAACACCATAAAGAGATATGCTCATTTTGCATCTGAAGAACAAACGTCTCAGGGTTTGTATGGAAGAGAGTCGGGATGTTTTAAAAGCTTGCGGTAACACTTTAGTTTAGGGACCGATTCTCACTAGTAACTAGTGGCTTATCAGCATGCATATTACTAGCATATTGTCTGTTTATGAGTACTTATAAAGCACATATTAATGCCTTATTCTGCATGATTATACTTTATATCCCTTAATCTGACTGCATACCAAAACGACTGCCTTACTAACTATTAATAAGCAGCAAATTAGTTGTTTATTGAGGCAAAAGTCGTAGTTATTAGTTAGTCAATAGTGAGAAATGGATCTTAAACTAAAATGTGTCTATTTCTTTTAAATCATATGTGCCCCTTTTAATACAAAGATTTAGGGCCACCGGCCAAAAGTAAATGCTGCATTATATCCAACTATATGACATTCATATTAAACTTTCAAATAGTTACATTAAATTTGGTTTCATTTTAGTATTTATTCATTTATTTATTTTACTATTTATTAATTTTTTCATTATAAATTTTTTTTTTTTTTTCCATTTTATGTATTATTTTTAATCAAATTCACTTACATTGTTCAATGCAAAAACAAATCAAAACGAGTATTAAAACAAAAATATAAATTAGAAATGAATGTTTGGCCAGTGTGTGCGTCACTCATTCTTGCTCTTGAGTCACTGTCTCATGTGATGCTGTGTGTTCTGTCAGCTGATATGATGTCAGAGGCAGGGGGCGTGGCAAGTGGTGCTGAGTCCGCTCATGAGGAGGGGCCAAGTTTGAGGGTATAATAACTTGATCCAAACAATAATTCACCAGTGACTTGTATTATGAGCATTATAAGTCAGCCATTGTACCTTTCACTCAACAGATATATTCAAAACTACTGTGTTCATTCATGAATGAAACCTGTCTTATTAGACTTTCCAGGCTAAAATGGATTCATGTTAGCATGTCTACAAACCTACAAAGAGACTAGAGCAAAAGTGTTTAAGCACCATCAGCATGTTCACCACAAATGACAACAAAGCAGATTCATCATTCTTGTCCACTTCTGAGCTTGACTTTTATAAATACACGAGTTATGACTTCAATAACGTCCTTAAACCTATCTAGTAAAGTGTTTAACTAATGAGAGCCAAAGCAATGCTTCAGGATGAACAGTTTGGTCACTTCTCAGTGTGCACTATGAAGACAGGAAAACGCCACTGAAGCAGGCATGTGCTTCACAAAGGAGAGCTCACGAGGAAGATTTGCTCATCTAAACGAAGACTCAAGACACTCCTATTGATGATGCACTTAGACGTCACGTCTCACAGCCCTCATCACCTCCACACCTGCTCCGCAAACTCTCCAGAGTGTCTCAACTCGCTGTGAGGACTGACTCTTACAGCACTGACACTTGCCGTTTGCAGCCTAGCTTAGCATGCATCGCTCGTCACAGCATCTTATGCAATTCATAAGAGTTAACATACAAGTTGGTAGAAAAGGTATAAAAAACTTACAGTTTCTATGTTTTCAGAAAGTAGATCATCTTCACTCTAAAAAAATAAATAAATAGACACATTTTCATTATAACAAACAAAAGTTTAAAATGTTTCTGATTGGTCTTTTAACAAAACTGATTCGAACTAATTAGTGCACCCTATTCAGCAAAAGCAGTTCTGTAAGAGACTTAAAGGAACAGATTTGAAGAAATGTAGCATTCCATCACAATAACCTAAAACGATGTGACTATTTCACTGGAGAAAGCAGTAATGTGGATAGGGGACTTTTAGCCAGAAGCAAGAGTTTGAAGTTAAAAACGTGTTAATGCTGGATTTGTTTCAGCTTTTGTCTTCTCCAGATGTTAACTGATGGACTGGAGTGCTGTGGATTACTTGTGGATTATTGTGATGTTTTTATCAGCTCTCATTCTGACGGCACCCATTCACTGCAGAGCATCCACTGCTGAGACACTGATGCAATGCTGCATTTCTACAAACCTGATGAAGAAACAAACTCATCCTGATCTGAGATGAGCACATTTTCAGATAACGTTCATTTTTGGTCTAACCACTGCTTTAAACACAATGAGGGAGTGATGTTCTGCTCCACTATACTAACATGGCTTTCTTGTCTTTGTCCTCGTTTTAATGATCCATATCTGCTATCGCTGCGTGACAGGTGTCTGCTCGATTCTTCTGCCTGCAAGACAAAAAAAAAAACAATGACATTATTGATTACAAGTATAAAACAACAAAGAAATATCAAGAAAGTATCAAACTGCATTTCCATTTCATTTGTCACACAATGTAATTTTGAACTAAAACATGGTAAAACGTGTGGCTTTGAGGTGTTTTATGTTGTAGTTACAACGGCATCATATATATAAAACAACAACAACAAAAAACAGTAATACTGGCAAACAGTTCAAATGCATTATTTTATAATAAATAAGCATTCTTTAACTATACTTTAATTACTTTAATTATTTCTTTTGGGAAAGAAAATCACGTGTCATGTGACTAGATTTGAAATGGTCTTCAGTTTTTATTGTTTGTCATATTTGTGGCCATGGAGTCTCGTGTCTGCTTACAACTTAAAACTTCAAGATCCCTCCACGATTTACTATGAACTCACAAACATTCACTCTCTTTGTCTGAATGTCATGTGATGATTCAGACCAGTCTGTCTGCTGCAGCAATTATATAAAACACCATAAGCGCTCTCACACACACACACACATGCTCGGATGATGATGGTCACACTGGATATCTGTTATTCAAAGTCCTTTAACCTCAAAACAACCAAACTTTAAAGGATTTTGAGAAGTTTAATTTTTATTTCATATGCAAAGCTGTTACCCAATCACAGCAGCAGGTGTTTGCATCAGGCTGGTTGCATAAAAAAAGACTAGTTCTTTAAAAAATTGTCATCTCATTTGTTTTCTTCAAGACTGGTCATAACTTTTAAAGTCAGTTACAAAACGGTAGACTGGTCTAATTTGAATCTGAAAAGTAAGACTGATTACCCCTTTGCTAACTGCTAGTTGGTCAAACTAGTTCTTAAGGCACAGTCTTAGGCCATGTCCACACGTACACGGGTATTTTTATAAACTGATGTCCACACGTACATGGGTATTTTTATAAACAAAAAGTTTTTTAAAAGTTTTTCCTTCTTCCGTTTTAAAAAAAAAATCTCCGTCCACATGAAAACGCAAACGCATGCTATGAAGCACTGTCAAGAGCATGCCAAACCAACAGGTGGCGATATTATCTCAACCGTAAAGCCATGTTGGCCAATCAGAAGCCTGAAAAAGTCTCCAGTAGGCAGAGAAAACAGAGCAGGCTCCGATGTCACAAGCCAAAAACTCCGGTTTCGCTGTCTACACGATAACACTGCAACCGGAGTTTTTGAAAATCTTCACCCTGGCCTTAACATAGTGGCTGTGTTTATGCAACTTGACCCTCAGAAGTCTGAAATCATGAAAATGCCCTTTCATTTTCTAAATTATCAAAGTTTTGATAAAAAAATCCAAATAACATTATAAATGCACCTCAGGAAACATTATAAAATAAAAAAAATGCAGATCATGAGCCCTTTAAGAGTGAATGTGTGCATATTGTGAACCTGTCTTTCTTGGAAGCCTTTCAGTAAAATCAAAAAAGTATTATCAATTAGTTCAAATGCATGGTAACATTATGCAGCTTAACACTTTAGTTAAGGAACCAATTCTCACTATAAACTAGTTGTTCATTAGCATGCATATTACTGGCATATTGGCTGTTTATGAGTACTTATAAAACACATATTTGTCAGACTCTGTTCCGTGTCTGTGTGTGCTTTCTTCCCCCCACGTGCTCCATGTTATGTTTATGTCCTTATTTGGTCTTCCTGTTTCCTGTTCCCATTATGTTCCCTGATTAGTTCCATTAGTTCCAGCTGTGTTATTAATTATCTTCATTTGCTCCTGTGTATTTAAAGTGTGTTCTGCCCCTCGTTTCCTGTCCGGTATTGAATGTCTGTTGATGTCTACCTCCTCAGCTACGTGTGCTTTCCTGGTTCCCTTGATTTCATTAAAATCTTATTGTTGATGTACTCCACGTCTCCTCGTTCCTCGCTCCAACACAGTAGCACCATGACAGAATAGCGGCGCCCCTTCTCCCCGTGTTTGTTTTTCGTTTTGAAAGCCTTTTGTTTTCCTGTGTGTTTCTCCCCGCGGCATGGAAGTAGCCGCTCGTTTTATCACCCTAGCCCACAGAGATCTCCCCTTCGTGGAGTATGCGTGGGAGTTCAGCTAGATCGGCGCAAAAACAGCGCTGGACGATGCCACGCTCAACTCTCTGTTCTGGATCGGGGCCAATTGCTATCGCCCCGTGGACCTCCCAGACACCACAGGACTGAGTTGGAGGGAAGGGATCCTCCAGTGTCTGGAGAGCATCCAGCCCCGATCCAGAACCAGCCTGCCGGCCGTTCCTCAGTCAAGGCTGCCGGCCTTCCTGAGTTTAGCCCAGAGAGGGCTCCAGTCCCCGAGTTTAGCCCAGTGAGGATTCCAGTCCCCGAGTTTAACCCCGAGAGGGCTCCAATCCCAGAGTCTGGCCCAGAGAGGGTCCCAATCCCCGAGTCTAGCCCAGTGAGGGCTCCTGTCCCCGAGTTTAGCCCACAGAGGGCTCCTATCCCTGAGTTTAACCCACAGAGGGCTCCTGTCCCCGAGTCTAGCACAGTGAGGGATCCTGTCCACGAGTCTAGCACAGTGAGGGCTCCTGTTCCAGAGTTTAGCCCACAGAGGGCTCCTGTCCCCGAGTCTAGCTCAGTGAGGGCTCCTGTCCCCAAGTTTAGCCCAGTGAGGGCTCCTGTTCCCGAGTGTAGCCCAAGGAGGGCTCCAGTTCCCACGTCCAGCCCAAGGAGGGCTCCAGTCCCCAAATCAAGCCCGAGGAGGGCTCCAGTCCCCAAATCAAGCCCAGGGAGGGCCACAGTTTCCGAGTTAGGCCTACAGAGTCCCTCTAAAGACGATATTCTCCCCAAGGATTTTTTTCTGCTCCGCTATGGCGCCCCGAGTTGCCTGATCCCTCATGGCTCCCCGAGCTCCCTGTTCCACCATGACCTCCTGAACTGTCTTCTCCGCCATGGCTTTCTGAGTCCCTGATCCGCCATGGCTTCCTAGTCTGCCTGATCCGCCATGGTGCCCCGAACTGTCTGATCCGCCGTGGCCCCCTGAGTTCTCTGCTCCGCCATGGCTCCTTCCGGGAGGGGGGAGTAATGTCAGACTCTGTTCCGTGTCTGTGTGTGCTTTCTTCCCCACACGTGCTCCATGTTATATTTATGTCCTTATTTGGTCTTCCTGTTTCCTGTTCCCATTATGTTCCCTGATTAGTTCCATTAGTTCCAGCTGTGTTATTAATTATCTTCATTTGCTCCTGTGTATTTAAAGTGTGTTGTGCCCCTCGTTTCCTGTCTGGTATTGAATGTCTGTTGATGTCTACCTCCTCAGCTACGTGTGTTTTCCTGGTTCCCTTGATTTCATTAAAATCTTCTTGTTGATGTACTCCACGTCTCCTCGTTCCTCGCTCCAACACAGTAGCACCATGACAATATTAATGCCTTATTCTGCATGATTATATTTTATATCCCTTAATTCACTCCATATCTAAACAACTACATTACTAACTATTAATAAGCAGAAAATTAGTTGTTTATTGAGGCAAAAATCGTAGTTATTAGTTAGTCAATAGTGAGAAATGGATCTTAAACTAAAGTGTGTCTATTTATTTTAAATCATATGTGCCCCTTTTTAATACAAAGATTGAGGGCTACCGGCCAAAAGCAAATGCTGCATTATATCCAACTATATGACATTCATATTAAACTTTCAAATAATTATATTTTATTTTGTTTTATTAAGTATTTATGCATTTATTTATTTTATTATTTAATCATTTATTCATTTTTTTTTTTTTTATTGTATTTATCATTTTTAATCAAATTCACTTACATTGTTCAATGCAACAAAAAAAAAAAAATCAAAACGAGTATTAAAACAAAAAATATAAATTAGAAATGAAGATGCTTCAATGGCATGTTTTTCCCTGTTTCTCCTTTCTCTTGTGATACGGCATGAGGGTCAAATCAGAGTTCATCACGGGCCATAAAAAGGACCATTATATTTGTATATTTAAAATAATCCCCCTGCCCACCTCATCAAAATGCTGATTTATGATTTATGGTAACAGTAGATCACAGGTGAACTCTTTTTTCATCTAAACTTCTTGATTGGATTGTAAGAGCCTTGTGTTCAGGACAGCAGATGTGAAACAGACACACAATCACTAACCTCAGCTGGTTTCTGCATTACTGCATTACTAAAACAAACAGAAAACTGTTGTGCAGCTGCTGTCACTGGATCAACTCTTCAGAGAGAGGAACTGACCGACCTCAGTGCTTTTCTGCCTTTAAAGCAGTGGATTTGTGAGTGAATTAAAGGAGTGAAGGGATGACAAGAGACCACTAACTAAATAAACGAAATAAAACTCTGACAATATGTGACTGTGATCAATTACTGACGTCAGTCGGCGATATTTGATACAGGATTTGTTACAATCAGCGATCAAAACCAGACTGTAACACAGTTTAATATTTCAGCAAACCGAGAAGACTCATTTAATTTGATTTCGTGTTTCATCGCGAGATTCAGCATCATCGGAGGGTGTGCTCTGATAAAATAACACGACCATACAATAAATCTGTTTCTATTGATCGCGTAAATGATCGTTTACAGTAAAAGATGTGTGTTTCATTATCTGTCACACAGAGCAGCCCGGCTCCATGACCCCACAGCGAGCATTATGTGATATTATTGTCAACTCATCGAGGCTGTGTATTTTATAACAAAGATCAGCAGACAGTGAGAAAGCGTCTGGAATCAAGCCGATCCGGACTCTGGAGATGCACTCACGTCTCTGATAATGTGCCGCAGAGACTCGTCCTCGCTCATCCCCCGGGACAGCGTCCGTTTCCTCAGCGAGCCCGCTTTCTCAAGCTTGCCCGAATGCATCTTCCCATATGTAAGGGCTGTTGAAAAGCTCCAGAGAAAACGTCGAAAATAGCCCCGCCCACTCGAGAGTCTCCACGCCCCGCCCACCGAACGACTCGGTGCGCTCCGGTAGAGAAACACTCACGAGACACGGGCTGCTCTGACGTTTTCTCTGGAGCTTTTACGCGATCAATAGAAACAGATTTATTGAATGTGTGTTTTCTTACTTCCCGGCCGTTATATCCACTTTGAGGGATTGAGAATATCTGAGGTGGCAAAGAGAATCTAGAGGGACCGTTGTTAATGATTTCTAACATGTATGGTCGTGTTTATCTACTGATGTTAGATTGTATGTTAGTATTCCACACCAGAGGAGCACTCCACCGGAATTACATCCGTGCATTGACATGCAGCTACAAGTTAAAACAATAATCCGTTGAACACTTTGATAATTGGCTGCGCTATTTTTAATCTTGTCATTTCATCTGAATATCAACATTTGTGAGATTTAGTTAGTCAAAGCATTTTTGTGACTGACTGATCAAATGTTGTGTCTGAAAGAATGATCTATCGGTTTTTGTGTGTGTGTCTATTTTGTTAATGAGGGATGTTTTTTTTAGATTTGTGGAGTAAAAATTACAGTTTTTAGTAGGCTAAGTGACAAGCTAAAATGATATTTTCACCCACACTGGGTGTATATATATATATATATATATATATATGCTTCTTGGCCTCTTTGAATAATTTTATGTTTTGTGCTATAACAACTATGAGCAAATGTTTTTTTATTTATTTCCCTTAATAACACAGAGCAGCCGGGTTTCTATCCAAAGCTGCGAATTTAACTGGAATATCGCATAAAACATGTGTGAATAAGCACCATTTCCATCCAACGAGTCAAAAATAACAAAATCGTCACTTTCTGGGGCCTCCACATTTCCCATCAACCCCTGCAAACATACCATTAGATAAAACACCATTAAACTAAACACACCAACAGATGAAAGCCATAGCCTATCTTTTAGCTTTCAAGGATGAGTTTTGTCAGGGCTTTACTGGAACAGAACATGATAAATACATCCACAAGGAGCTGATATACTACTAATGAATCATTGTCATATTTTAACATTAACCAGCAGTGCTGTGACCCCAAAGAGAGTTACAGATGTTATATGTGTTAGTGGACACATGGTGCGTCATTGACCTTCATGACCACAGACACAGTGGTCTTTACATACATGCATAAGATTTAAAACTCCCATTCTACAAAACAGAACTCAAGATTCATTTGATGGTATAGCAAATAAATTCATAACAAAATAAGTGAAGTGTTGGGGAAAGTTATGTTTAAAAGTAATGCATTACAATATTGTTACTCCATAAAAAAGTAAGTAATTGCATTACTAAGTTAACTTTTATGAAAAGTAATGCATTCCATTACTTTTACGTTACTTTTTGTCACCTGAGCTGGGCTTGCTTATTTATTTTTAATAAAAAAAAACCTCAAAAGCTATATTTTTGTCAACTGTAATAGCCCTTTCACACTGAAAGTGAAATGAATAAGCCTCAGGCTGAAGGAAGTGCCTCTGCACTCACTCCTGATTTCTCTCAACACAGGGACAGGAGAGCTGTCAGTCAATACATGGGAAAACAAAGTAATTTGCAGTACTCCTTTGAAAAAGTATATGTTGCTGTAAATTTTAAAGTAATATGCATACGGCCGTTGCCGGAAGTTAGTGATTTGAGTTTATAATTTTGAAAATAGAAATATTTTTGTTACAAAAACCCATCGATCCGCTTCAGAAGACATATGTTAATCTTCAAAATAACAGCCACCATCCACCACCATTACCAAGCTTGGAAGCTTAAAGGTGACATATCAAGAAAATCTGATTTTCCAGGTTGTAAGTGCTATAATCAGGTCTGCGGTGCATCTACCAGCCAAGGAAATGTGAAAAAGATTAACCCAGTAACTTTGTTTTGGGAAGCCTTTTTCTGCAAGCGTCTGAGAAAACGAGCGCGTCTGATTTCGCTCCCTTGGTGACGTGGCAAAGGGATCTCATTATAATATTACCGCCCCTTAATCTGTAAATGTAATACACCCACAGCGCCGTCATTGTGTTTTCGCAAGCGACGACGGTGTACCAGCTCTAATGCCATGGATATATTACATATTGTAAAAAGGGGCATAATATGTCTCCTTTAAAGATAAATTTTAAAACAACTCCGACTGTGTTCGCCTGAAAGAAGAAAGTCATATACACCTAGGATGGCTTGAGGGTGAGTAAATCATGGGGTAATTTTCATTTTTGGGTGAACTGTTCCTTTAATCTGTTAAAGAACCCACAGAAATCCTTCTCATAAGTAGCCCCACAGCAGTCTCTGTCGACACACAGCAGTTCAGGCTGAGGAACTGCAGCATCCCTGTACCTTTTAATGATGCCAGCAACCATCACCGCCAGTCCAAAGCCTTTACTTGCTGTAAGAACTGACATGATATTCATTTCTGACATTTGTGACCCAGGTGGCTGTTCCAGCGCTGTGACCAGCAACCTTCTTAATGGAATCCATTTTCAGCACTCGTCCAAACTGTGAGTTTATACAGGCTTTGATCTCATCTAGTCTTTGAAGGACATCCTGAGCGTACACCTGCATCAGCCACCAGTGTTTGAGTACAAGGAGCATAGCAGGTGGGCTTTCGAAAGATACAGGCCTCACAAGACCTCCAGTGACCCCTTTATGAAGGCTCTAGCAGTCTGTCAGATACTGCACAACCTGCAGCCAGATCTCAGAGTGCTGCTCCTCTAGCTTCCTCTGCATTTGACTGCTGCTGTTTCCCAGACCTCTCTGACGCAGAAGATGGACCACTGTCATGTCACATGCCAGCTTTGAGGTAAGAATGCAGGGAAACTGAAGCCTATGATTAATGTCAAGCTGTGACAAGATGTCGAAGCTCCAGCTGTTCACCATCTTCTTGCATTTATTAAATGACAGATACTCAGACGCCATGAATTAAGAAGTTTTAACATCAACTACCTGTCTGATTTTCTGGTGCAGTCCTGCTGATGTGAGCTCCTGAATCTGGGCATGTTAACTTTGACTCTCCACAGCGTTCTTGGCATCCAGAGAAAGAAGGGATGGCCAAAGTAGTGCTCTGTCACTGGTAATCCAGTAACTGCAAAAGGGGGCTGTGGAGGGTACCATCACACCCTGTGCACTCTGGTGAAGTCCATTTCCGCTTGGTTGTGGGATGAATACTTGAACAAAGCCTTTGATATCCACAGGCACAGCTGATCAGCCAGGGGCAATGTGTGCATCCAGCCACCTGTGAGGCAACTTTGATTTCTTTCGCAAAATGAACAGAAAATAAAAACATAAACCTGTAATACAGTACCTTACAAATTAAAACAAAAATAGCTTTCAGATGTTCAGGAGCATACTGGACATTTGAGATTGCAGCAAGTCTGCTTGTGCAACTAGTTCATGATCACCTGCTCAGATGACTCAAACAAGACCATGCTAGTAGATTCTACAGGCACTGGCACAGCTGGCTGAGATGTCTATGCAGATATTCTAATTAAAGATACAAAGAAATTACAACAAATTGTACAAACTACAGCAATTTTGCTGCACTTTACTCTATACTAACAATCGCTGTAGCACTGTCAGATTTAGAAAAAAGTCCATTCATATTTCCAAAGACTGCTTACCTGGTTGGGCTGTGGTGATGTTAACTTTTATTGGGCTGCTTTGCAAAGGCTCTGTGGATGGCGTGTTTCGCCAATCAGAAGAGGACAGACAGAGGACACTGAAGGCAAGGACTGTGGGGCACAGGAAGACCTCTGTGAGATATGACGGGAACTTGTGGAACCCATATTTTATGCCTTAATGGCCTCACAACCCTCTGGAAAAGTCCAATGTACCCCACAAAGGCTGCTTTATTAGTGTGGTGATTTTAGGAGTCTTTAACTTCGGATGATTCCCTCCATTTGCTTGCTACCAGATTTCCAGCATAACCCAGGGCATTTTCAGCAACCCACTTGAAGGTCTGACCTTTGAAGACTCCAAACTGTATCTCATTTTGCCTTAGAATGTACATTTTATTGCTTGGGTCTTCACCTTGGCACAGTACAGCTCTCTTTGCAGCCTCTAAAAACCCTATCTGGAGACAGAGCCCAAGACCAAGGGCTCTTTTTGTTCTTCTCCTTCACACTTAGAGCTACAGACGTGTCACACATATTTATTCTCCCTTCAGGTCTCCACCTATATTTAGGCTCCATTCTATAAAATACAGCGGCAAGCAGCAATGACAGGATTAAACACTGACACCAACATCACTTGAAAGTAATTGTGTTAAAGCACACGTTTTTTTTTTTGCCCATGCTTCTCAAAGAGCCAATCAGGGCTTGAGTTCGAAGTCCTCCATTGGAGGGCAAACATGCATTCCCTGACCGGGAATCAAATCCGGGCTGAATCTTAACCACTAGACCACCAGGGAAGGGCTGGTCTGCGCTAGATCTCTATCTAGGTCTAGATCTCTATCCCAGTGTCTGGGACTGCACACTGTAAAAGGGTTGCTGTACATTTTACAGTAATTGACTGGCAGCTGGATGCCAGCAAGTACAGTATCATTACTGTAATTTCTTTTTACAGGACAAATACCATATACCATATTTCATTTACAGTATGAATACCGTATTTTCATTTGCCGTATTAATACCGTATTTTCATTTACAGCATGAATACTGTATTTTTATTCACAGTATGAATACCGTATTTTTATTTACAGTACTATAATTGATTTCTTATTACAGAATCAGGAGTTTTTTAATGATTTGAGTTTAGCTTCGTTTACTTTAAACAAAAATAATTATTTACCTGTAAAAAACAATCTACATGATAATGTTGCAATAAAGTTGATGAAACGGATCTAATCGCAGTAGTCAAAGTTTTGTTTAACACAGAATTTTATCTCAAAATACTCAGAAAACAAATGAACAAAACAACCAAACCTAATGCGATGAAAACTGAAAAAAAAATA